CCTGCGGATGTTACGGGCGGGGGACTTGTTCAAAGGAGGAAGGCGGCGGCCCCAGCCAGAGCCGGCAGGGACGGCGAGGCTGGGGCTGGGGCTGGGGCTGGGCGGGCGGAGAAGGGTTAGGGCGGCCAGGCTGGCGCGGGCTCTCCAGGAAGAGGCGCCGCAACTTTCTCTGCTTTTTGAAAAGGGGAAGGGAAGGCAGGCAAAGTCCGAAAGCAAAAACAGCCTTGCCCTGGGCTGAATCGACCGCGCGCGGGTCTTCTAAACCGGGTGTCCGCGACCCCTTCTCCAGCCGCTTCTCTTTAAAAGGGAAGCGGGAAAGCCTCCTCGCCCCTGCCCCCTCCCCTCTCTCTTTCCCCGTCTGGAATTTCCAGCCCCGGACTCGCTCCTCTGATTCCTTCAGTCTCCCCTGCTGCTTTTTCCCCCTCCCCTTTCCTCTCCCTAACACTCCCATCCCCAAATCTAAGCTGCACTTTCTGGAAGACATTAGCCACATTTTAAGAACCCTTTAAGAGGATGGAGGGAGAACAAGACTAAATTTAAATTCTAAAAGCTGGCAAAATGTGTGCTTTTCAAATGCCTTTGGTTCATGCATTTATTCTAATGACAACATCACCACCACTACTAGCCCCACACACAAAAATCAACGGAGGTATAACCAATACATATATGTCTTCAACACAAACCCCTAAACTTCAACAAATAACACTTGCTGGTCCCCCTTTTCACTCAACTAAACAGATCTGGAATTTTTTGTAACGTTTCAAAATTGTATACTCCCTAGCCTGCCTTTGTCAACTAGCTATTACACATTCAAGTCTAGAATAAATAAATTCAAAAAAAAAATAAGCCTTAAAAGTACCCAAACACATAAAATAGATTCAAATGACATATATTAAGGTAATTTTAAAAGATTAGAGGCTCAGACCTTTGAATCAAAATTCTCCCAATGGCTAATGTCATGTATTTCATCTCTAAAACATAATTATGAGAATGTTTTGCTCTTTTTCCACCCAAAGCGGTGCCACTGAAACTTTACATTTGGAAGAGTTAACTATACGTTGAATAAATTAGTGATGGGAATCACAATTCTTCCCCTCTACTCCAAAGTTCTCCATCTGGGAAACCACAAGAGTAAAATTTCATCTTTCTCCTTTGAATTAGAAAATAAAGGGTTCTGGAAACATAGGACTCTTTAAAGGATAGTCAAATACCACAGTCCCTACGAAAGTCATCTTGAAACACTGAGAACTTAAATAACAAGCTAAGGATTTCTCTAGCAGTGAAGAAAACTTAATTTTTATCAATTTGTTAAGTGTACTTTCTAGTTGGAAATAAAAATGGGGAGGGTAAATCGATTCCCACCTTCCCTCCAAATAATGCAGAAAATTTTTTTAAATCAACCATTTTAAAACTTATTTAAAGCCCCCCCAAAAACTTAATATTCATAAGAAAACCTCTTTACTGAAAGTGTCATAAATGTTTCTACTTTTAAACATCCTTGTTGAATATGTTTCTGTTGAAAGATACATTGACAACTACAACCACTAAAGCAAAAGTGCCTGAAAATCCTCCCCCTCTAGTACTTTTTACCCCTTTTTGCTTTTTAAAAAGACACTGTTTCTTAACCCCCTTTATAATTCATTTTCAGCCCCTAAGAACAGTTTTCTCTAAAGGCATACCCATTTCTGAAGGCAAAAATTTTTGCCTGTTTTGAAAACATTTAGTGACCCAATTATTTCCTCAGAAGCTTCACAAATCACTTCAGATTCAAAATAATATTTTGCCATCTATAAGACATCCTTTTGCAGAGATTTTTAAAGTTGCTGACTTTAGAAAATTAAACTGTAAAATTAGAATTAAATTTGGACACTTTCTCTTCTAAGAGTTCTCACACTTACATGGCTGAGACCCATCCCTGTATGTGTTTTTTTTTAAATAGTTGGAAATTTAAGGGCAAGTGTTAGCCCACCTCATTTTAAAACAACTTAAAGAACCACCCTTAACCTGCCTAAGGAAATCACGTCTTAAACTAAAACACAATTCACTGAGAAAAATGCAGTATATCTCTCATTTTTTTAAATAGCAACGCCTTTTATTTTGATGACACCAGTTGACAGTAGGTAAAAGCTATCTTTTGGCCACATTCCCCTAGAAAAAGGCATACACAGTGGCAAATGAAACAAAGTTTAATTCCCTTAAAAAGCCAGCCATTTCCCAAAATAAACAAGACTCATTATGATGTACCCCTTTACCTTAACTACTCTTATGTCTCAAAATAAAACACATATACAAACCCTCTCCCACAGCTTTTTTTAAAATGCTTTTGGTTTTACTCCTTGGTCCTAATATTTGAGAGTGAATATATACAAATTCTCAACAAAAAGCCGAAACTGTTGACCAAAATTCCAACACTAAGAGGGTGTTTCAAGCATTCAGCTTTTCAGTTCAAATGTCCATAATCTTCAGGAAATCTACTGTATCTCAGAGAAATTGGTCACCCATTTAAAAATTTCAACTTAATGCTTTCAGTTTAAATGTATCGTATTCAGTCTCTGGGGTTCTTAAAAAGATACAAATTATATTTATCAGATAAAATTAGAATAAAATATATTAATACTTCAAAATCAGGGTTGTTCAGAGGTTAACTGCTATAATATCATCTTGTTTGACGTCCCTCTCTAAAAAAACAACAAAAACCAGGACCATTTAGTTTGCTAGGTTTTTATGAAAACCTTAGAAATGTTTAGAGTCATAATTCATTTGGAACTGAGTACATCAAGAGGAATTCTCTTCTATTTTAAACAGCAAAAACACTAGTCTACATACACATATATATGCAGTTGTTCATTTTGCTTAAAATATTAGTCAGTTAATGAAGTAGCTCCTGTTATATACATCCATGAGTGAAAAAGCCAGTTAACAAACCAACTGAAAAAACACTTTTCAGACAGACTAAAACACATACCACCACATGCTTCCCCAAAGAACACCAAATGATAGAGCATACTGACTTCATGAAAACAAACTTTCCTTTTTTAAATCCTAAAACTTCAAAAATTGATTCATTCTAGAAAAATGAAGTGCCTTTTCACCACCACCCACAAAATAAAATAATACACAACTGACTCAATGTTTGTGCTCACAAATTATTTCAGGAAGAGAACACACAAAAGATCCAATTTAATCTGGGTGTGGAAAGGCAGGTTTCGTACCCACTCTTCTCACACACCCCACCCCTTCCCAACTCAAAAGAGCCCTCAGTAATGCATTTTGGAGGGAACCAGGAGCCTAAAAATGGCTTGAAAGCAAGCAGATGGCTTAGGGAAAAAGATCCATAAGTACAGAGCACCATGAAAATTCAAATATAAATGTTTTGGGTTCCGTTTCATCACATTTTGCTATTTCTCTTGCTTTTCAATGCATTCCCTTTAAAGCTTAAGCCATGCTGAAGAGGAAAAGAAAAAATTCCCACATATTTTGGCATTCCAGTTATTCTGGAGACTTTTCATCAACGTGTTTCAAACATTCAGTTTTCCGTTCAAATGTCCACAATCTTCTCACTAAATCTACCTGGTGTCAGTGCATTCCCATCCCCCAGAAATGTTTCAAAAATGATCAGGCTTTTCTTTCCGTCCTCCCCATTTGATGACCTCTTTATCCTAACTCTCACTGCCTTTCCAACAACAGAGTATTTCCAGCCCTGGAGGTTAAATCACAAACTCTGTAAACACAGTTACAAGTCATATTGATCCTCTACAGATACAATGGTGCCAAGTTATTTAAAAATCTCAAGCTAAATCACTGAACAGACTGTTCCTGGTGTTAAAACTTTCTAGATCCTCTTAACCTCCCCCAAAAGAGCATAACCACCCACCTCTACCTTCCCACCCAGGAAAGGCCAGGGACGACTCTGAGATGCAGCCAGTTTCCAGCTGCAATGAGGGGAGAGGAGCAGTGAAAGAATCAGAGGTTTACTGGGGGCTCCACCGTGACAGAAGTGCACTGTCAACATGTTTCAAGTCAGATTTCAGAAAGCAGAGAGACTCTGCCCTTCTACCTCCCAGCCAGAGTTCAATGAAAAATTTGAAATCCACCATGAATTAGATTTGGGAGTAACACACAGAACTAACCCACTTTGCTCAAGTGAGGACAGAATGGTATTGGGACGGAGGGACACACACACACACACACACACACACACACACACACACACACAATCCATTCATCCAGGGAGTTCTAGACCCTCCAAAGAGCCCCAGCTCACAGCCTGAACACAAAGCTCTCACCCCAGATGGTCCCCTTGTAACAATGGGCTGAAGGGGGGGTGGGGGGGGGTGGGGGTCCGCGCTTGGAAAGGATTGTTCAGCCAAAAGTATATTCTTTGCAAAATCCACTGGAGATGGGAGGACGTGTGAGGTGAGGGACTAGGAGAGGAGGTCTGTGAAAAAATCTAAAGTCCTTGCCTGTTGCAGAAATATAAATATAGCACAGCCTAAAGAAAATTTTTTGGGGGGGGGGGGGCGCCGAACTCCTTCCCCTCCTCCCCTGGGGAAATGAAGGGCCCGCCCCCCCGCCCCCCCCAGCCGCTTAAGAATTTAAGAATTAAGGTGAGGGAAGGGGGGGTGGGGGGATTGAGGCCTGCTAGGAAGCTGCAGAAATGCCCATGAGTCTAAACTCTTCAAGGTTTTTAGCTTCCCCACAAAAAATGGCCTCACACACCTTGAACAAACTCAAGGTTTCTCCCCGATCGATTTTTCCCCCTTTTACTTCTCCAAGAAACATCTCCTGGCCCACCCCAGCCCCAGCGTATTTTCTTTACAAGCTGTAAACCACCCATTACAAGATCTTCGTCAATCTTCCCTCCCTGCCCCAACATCCGGAGTTGGGGGTGGAAAGGCCAGTAATGGGTTTCTTCCACTGGAGACACCATGGACCCCCCTGGACACAGCTTCTCGGAGCCCTTGGGCCGCCCGCCTCCCCAGAGAAGAGCGCTTTCCTACCTTTGTTTTTTGGGGACCGAGTGTTCAATCTCTAGGCGTTTTCCTTGCAGTTCTACTTTCCCTAAAGATTAAAAAAATAAAAAATATATATGAGAGCTTGAACAGGAGTGGGGGGGGGGGGGAGGAAAGAGAAAGACATGGGGGGACGCAGGAGTTCCTGGGATCTGAGACCTTCCTGGGAATCCAGGCAGTGGGTTCCGAGCGGGGCGCGAACGGTCGCCCGGAGAAGGATGGCGTCTGTAAATTTCACGACTGCTTTCTTAATTTTTGTTTTGTTCTGTGATCTCCCCGAGGCTAGCGGAGTCGTGGGGCGCTCTGGGAGCCCGGTTGGGGAGAGCGAGGGCGTCTGTGCGGGCGGGCTGCCCACAAGGCTTCCAGACGTGGGAAGAAGGGGCCGAGCAAGGACGCCCGTTTCTCCCAAAGTGTGTTCTGGGGAAGGCGGGTGCAGAATGAAACTTTATTTTCCCGTCGAGTCCAGGAGGAGGGCTTCAGGCGGCGGAAACGGTCACCTGTCGAGCCGGTCGGGGGAGGGGGGGCAGGGGGAGGCCGGGGGAGCGCAGCGGGCCCGCAGGGAGGGTCCCTGGCGGCGGTGGCGCGCGGCTCCCGGCCCAGCCTCGCGTCCTCGGGAAGCAGCATGGCGACCCGCCGCCGGCCGCGCCACCGCTCACGCCCCGCGTTCAAATCAAAATGGCTCAAGCCCCAAGGCCCCGGGCGGGAGGCAGGATCCCGGTTCTCGGGTCCCGCTCGAAGGCTACAGTCCCCGAGGAAACCCGGGGGATCGAGAACGGAGCAGGGGCCCCGTCCCCGCCAGGAAAGGCCTAGGGCGGAGGAAGGGGCGCTGGAGCGCCGGGGGTGGGGGGAGCGCGCCCGGCGCGGGTAGGGAGGGGCCGGCGGAGAAATAGCGCCCAGACTGGGTGGCCTCAGTGGCGCCCCCCCAACTCCTGCCACAGGAGGCTCCCGCCCCGTCGGCGGGGGGTCTGGGGACCACCTCACCAAACCCGCCCGGGGCTGGCCGGGGTGAGGGAACCCCGAAGATCTCCACCCGAGGATGGCGATGGGGGGTGGCGATGGAGGGGCGTCGAGGGTGGAGGGTGGAGGGTGGGTCCCGAGGCCAAGGCGCAGGCCGCGGGCGAGCGGAGTTGGCGGGCAAGGAGAAAAGAGGCGCAGCTCCCCCGGCGCCCGGGGTTCTTGCCGTGGTTTTC